TTATTTTTAAGGGGTATTTTTGACTCTGGCAGTGGGAGGGGGGGGAAGTTGGGCTTAAGATTCATGTGACAAGCGATCACACACATGCAACTATCTGGAGAGCAGATCTTTTCGCTCAGTTCCACATTATTGTCCAATTAGCGTCAATTGGCTTTTCTTAGATCTTATCGCTCGATTGGGATCTAAACATTCGGATATGTTTTGTGTAATTGTTTATTTAACAGCACGAAATGTGCTCTCTTAATGATGCCCATGCAGATCCCAAATGTTTCCTGTTAGGCATCATAACAAAGCATTGAGAATAAGTAGAGATATGATCCGCACGATCGAGGGTAATGCGACACAAAGGGAGAAGAGTGAGACTCTTAAATATGGCCCTGAAATTGCAATAATGTCAGGAATGTAGCGAAGGCATACTCAGGGTATAGATTTCGAGCTCCCGAAAAGAAGAAATCATGGCTTTGATAAGCAGAGTTTGGGAAGAAGAGAGAAGAGTTGGTCAGACTGTTAAATATTACCCGAAGCTCCAATAATGTAAGGAATTGAATTGAATTTAACATTGAGTAAGGAAGTATAGTAGTTGAGCATAAAGTTGAGGGTTCGAACCCACAGAATGGGCGTATGCATAGACCTAGCTATTTAATAGGAAGAATTCAACAAAAAGAGAGAAGAGTGAAACTTAAATATTACCCAAAGTGTTCACATAATCAAAGGAATTGTTAAATATAAATTTTTTAAATTTTTAACATGAAGTTTAGTTATTTATTTTCTAAATTAGAAACTTGCGTAGCGCTGTGACCAAGGTTATGGCATATTAGGCAAGAAGTTTACGGTTCGAAGCTCCGAGAAGCCCCTCAGAAAAGTATCTAAACCAAAAAGTATCTATGCCCATATCTCATCTCTCTACAGTCTATTTACAGTTTAAAAAGTTATCGAGTTTTAATGCTTAAATTTGGTATTTAAACTATGGATTATGTGGCTTATCACAGGCAATAATACATAAGTCTATTTCGAAATAGGTTACTAAAACGAATTGAGGATCTTCTGCTTCAACTGGCTTATGGACATAAAATACTAGATGATTTCTATTTAATCGCATAATTATTTGAACTGCCCTCGTTCTGCTGGCAACAGCTGCAGAATTAATAAGAAATAAACAACAAATTGCGAGCGTTGCAAATTTGAATGGATGCGCGTTGTTTGTTTTCATTTCATTTCATTTCTTTATTGCTTTATTTTTGAGCAAACGCAGCTCAAAAAATTTGAAAAGCCGGACACACAACATTCGAAACCCAAATTTGGCTGGCCTCACGTGAGGCTCGAGTTGGGCCAAGGTGAGTTTTATTATTATGGCAAAACGCAATGCAGTTAACTCATAAATAAATTATTGGCCAATGCAACTTTTGCATCGCTAAACAAGTGTGCAGATGGGCAACGGGGAGGGGAGATAGGGCAGGGTAGGGTAGGGTAGGGTAGGGCAGTTAGCCAGGTGCAAGCAACGCACATGCTGCCAATATTTATTCTGTTGACGCTTTAACGTTATTAAGGCCCAATCGATTTGCTTGGCAACGCACAAATTGGCCCTTGCACCGAGTTAAAGATCGCGACAGGGCGCACCCTTCGCTTAGAATACCCTGTAAGCATTGGAGAGGGGTATGTTGTTTGTTCGGGCAGTTGAAGATAAAATATATTCTTTATTCTATATTCTGTCCATTTGTCTAGTCTCTCAGTTTTAAAGCTTTCGTCCCTCTTCCTGTTGCATAGAGTACATATGCCGGAATTGGCTGGATCGGAACACTATATCATATAGCTGCTATAGGAACGATCGGTCGAAAATGAGGTTCTTGTATGTACATATGCGTACGAAGCTTTTAAATCCATCTTGATACCCAGCAAGTTTCATAGCAGATCGCACAACAAAGAAAAAGTTATTTAAGAATGAAACTTTCAATGTGAGGGGACTGAAAAAAACAGCTTCAAAGAATGGTGAATACGAATTCTATTGTCATACTCCTCTTTTTACAGGGCATCTACTAGTTCGGCTAGCCCTTATACTTGTGTATATATTTATTTTTTTTGCGCGCTAAAGACCGGCAACGGAAGCGCCTGATTAGGGGTTCCTCCTGCGTTTGTTTATGTGCGTGTCCCTGTTTTGTTTTCTCATTTTTTAGCGCGCTCGCGGCTAAGGCGTAGCCCAATCCCGTAGTCCCTGCCCAGCCCCTGCCGCTGGCCTGGCCTAGGCGTCTGACCGGGCAGGGGTTGCTTAGAAGCGGCTGCGGCGAGCAACGTTCTTTCTGGCCTCGGTTTGTTTGCATTTACAACAGAAGAGGGACGCATAAGAGCGGGTTTTTAGAGGGGGTTTATTCGCAGCGCCCATTGTTTGTATCGTGTTTTTTACCTTTTTGGCTTGTAATTCATATATATTTTGTATATATTATATATGTTGTGCATATTGTATATGTTGTATATGTAGTATATTGTGTGCATTGTATTTGCCGGCTATCAAAATACAAATTATGCGCGCGAAGGGGCGCTGAACGGGGCTCAGCGCATTCGACATGGCCTTAACAGTTGTTGTTCTTCTTCTTCTGGTTGTTGTTGTTGTTGTTTATTTTGTTTTTGTTGCACTGTACCCACCCAAGCCGTAACCGTGTCTGATACACAGTAACGCCTCCTGCCCCCTGCCTCCTGCCTGGCTTTACGCCGGAATATGTTTGCCTTTGGCCCGCACTCATATGCCCGGGTCTCTGCTCTCACCCTTTACCCCCCTATCCCCTCTCCCCCTCTCGCCACGCTGCCCTTTCTGCAGTCACCATCAAACGGTTGCGTGGAACGTTTTCAAGTTGCGGAAGCAATTGCGCGTGCTGAAGTTGTCGAATGCCTCGCAATGCGAATCCTGCTGCATAAAAGCATCTCTAGTGCAGGCCTCTGCACTCCTTACACCCCCCCCCCCCCCCCCCCACCCCGCTTCCATCACTCTCCACGCTCATGGCTCGTTGGCGCATTTCAAAGCTTGGCGCGGATTTTTGTTTGCCCAAGCGCTTTAAATTAGAGCGTTAAAAAAACGTGTGAAACTCCGCACAGGGGCGGCTGCTGCTACTGCCTCTGAGCTCCTGCTCAAAGGTTGATTTACCTTTGATTTACTGTGTATACTGTACCATATATATACATATATATATGTATATATACACATCTAGCCAGTGCTGACATTGAAGTAAGTTCCTCAAGCGTAGCCCAGCTATTGTGCCCAAAACCCCAAACAAACAGTTCCAGGCCTTAAGTAGCTTTCGGTTTCAAGTGCCCAGCCCGGCAAGGGAACAATCTTGCCGAGCACACACCCACCCAATCCATACAAACTGGATACCCGATTAATAGACGCTTCAATGACCGTGCACATTTTAGGCAAGTCAAGGCTAAAGTAATTAAAGATGGCACAAGTTGATCGTTGAAATGTTTGAAAAGTGTGTTTAATGGACAGGGTGTGCCCAGGCCCAAATCAAGCCATTTTGTTTTTGATTCGTGGATTTCCTTTCAGATAAAACTATTCAATTAAAGCAATAAAAGCGGCATTTACCTTAATTTATCAACGTTTTAGAAGTAAATAAGTGAGAGTGTTCTTGTCGCGAGTGTTCCACTGGGAGCAACACCTTAAACTCTGCGGCAGGCTGCGTTTGCAAACAATTTAACTTTCTTTTATATTCACAATTACAAAATGGAGAATGCGTGCGTAAAAATTAAAAAAAGTATGGCCAAATGTGTGCAAATAAAGAGAGCCCAAATCTATACCTACAAGAAAACAGTGTGTCTTGTTCTTTTAAGCTCTGATATATGCTAAACAGACCGCATATCGATACATTTTCTTATCGATTAAATGCAAGCCGGGCATGCTATCGATATCTATTACTGTATCTATTACTACAATAGTTACAATCTATTACTGCAATAGTTAATCTGAGATTTAAGGGCTTCCAGATTAGATATACTCAAATTTGGTGGCGTCTGAGAGTCGGAAACGGTGCAACACTTAATCCCAACGACATTAAGCCGCAGCCTAAGCCAAAAATTGTGCAGCTTTAGTATTTCTTTTGTTTTTTTTTTTACCCATTTGTAATTGCATTTAGACACACACACTCACACACATGCATAAGTACACGCATTTCTTAGTATTCGGTTTTCAGCTTGAGAGGATTAGTGACACTAATTGCCGATGCTGCGCTGCCTCTGCCGCTGCTGCTGCTGCTGCTGGCAAATGACGCGGCAATCTTGTTAAATGCGCAGCGAGACTTAAAAATCAATTATGGATGTGCAAGCGGCGCGTTTATGGCATGCAAGGTGTTTAGAACAGGTAGAATACGGGATAAATGTGCACCTGTAGTGGCTTAGTATTGACCTTGTCGCTAGTCTCCTTACCTGTTGGCTGCAAAATTATTTTATTAGCTTTTCCCAGCAACAATAACAAATGCAATAAAATGTCAAGTTGCTGGGCATTTCCAAAGAAAGCAAAGACAACAACAAAGCACAACACGAAAATGGAGAGAGCGCAGCTGCATATGTGTGGGTGTGGGAGCGCGCGGGAGAGAGAGATAGAGCGCGCCAGCTAAGCCGAGCTTAACGCTTTATAAAATATATAAGACAAAAATGCGCTTTCAAATGAGAAACGGGCAAGAAAAATAACTGAAAAGGGCTGTTGAAAACAGGTGGGAAATGAATATATGCAAAACACGCAAAGCAAACATACAACAATATAAAGTCTAGAACAGGCAAATAAACAAACGCCAACGGTGACGCCTGAGTGAGTCACGGTCACACACACATGCCCAGCAAGTGGGAGCCAGAGAGAGAGAGAGAGAGGGAGCAATACCATAAGAGAGGACAGCGCCCCAAAAACAGACAGACATTTCATGTAAATGTATCAGACGCTGGGTTAAACGCCTGGCACAGGGGTGTTTGGGGGGGTCAGCTAATAGTGTTGGTTAGTTAATAATTAAAAAGAGACTCACCCGTTGGCAGAATGGCATTGTTCTCGCGACGCCATGTGATGGTCGGTGTTGGATAACCGCTGGCATAACACTCCATTTGCACCTCGCTGCCCTCGCTGGCCACAATCGATTGAGTCGAATTGTCGGAGATGACGGGCGGACGACGCACCGATAACTTCACATTGGCGCTCACTTTGTGCACGGTGGAGATGACAACCTGACAGGTGTAGGTGCCCGCATCTGTTTCCTGTATGTCCTTGATCTGCAGCTTGTACGTGGAAGAGTTGGGATCATAGCGCAGTGAGAAGCGCGAATCTTTAATCACAAGCGTGGAGCCCGTTGAGAGGAAGACGGCATCTGAGTCTGTCTTGAGGAAGAGCACATTATATTCTTTGGCATACTGCACCGAGCAGTCGAATTCAACAGTGCCGCCAATATCCTTGATCTGCTCCTGTGTTATGTAGGAAATCGTGGGCGTCCTCTGCGCCTGTGCTTGCGTGGCGAGTGCAACCAGCAGCAGCAGCGATGCATACCACAAATTGTTAATCTTCAAGGGCTCAGCTTGCCACATTCTTTTGCTTTGGTGTACAGAAATATAAATATATTGCACCACACCCTACTGCTGATTATTTGTACAACGACTGCAACAGTAACTTTTAAACTGTTGAAGAAAAGCTGCCGCTGAGCTATTTGGCGCTGCGCTCTGAGACGCCCGAAGACGTGACCAAAAACAAAACAGGTAGCTTTGACTCTTTCCGTTGCACGGCACAGCGCGGATGCTGTTCGCTAGACACACACTTGTCAGCTCGCTCTAAGCTGGTTTTTCACGACTCTCGGTATGCGTGTGTGTGTGCGCGCGCGCTCTTACTCTCTTTTACTGATGTCTGTGTAAGCCCAGTTTACTAATTAACAATTGCTTTTAAACACACACGAGAGCCACAAAAAACTTAAGACGTCTGCACGGTTTGACTGTCACGACACGAATGATTCGAGTGTGGCGCGCCGTAGCGGGCGCTTGCGTAAATGATACACCGCTGTTAACCCGCCGCTAACAGGTACTGTTATGTTAGACTTTACAGCATCGGCTGTGCGCGCATTTTGCATCACTGTAATTAGCACTCAATTATGCGTTTATGTTAGATAACAAAATTGCGCTAACAGAATGTTATAGTCGTGCTTATCGATAACTATCGCTTAAAGCGCGGCTTATTTAAAACTTGAAATAATAACAAATATTTTCTATGTTTAGAATTGTTTAAAATGTATTTTTATTTACTTTTCTCCATTTTTGTTTGTAATATTCTTCAGTGGTTAATTATGTATAATGTCTATAAATGTCTGATTTTGTTTTTCATCTCTTTGTTCTTCATCTTTCTGTGCTGGATGTATGCATTGCGATTATATTTTATAACATTTTTGTATGAATGCATATTATAGATTGATATTAATAGTAATTTAAACAGTATCGACATAACATTGGATACCCTAATGTCGAAAACTCAAACATAAAATTCAATATCCAAAATATTGTGTAAACTTTGGAAAGTAATCCAGCTTTTGTTTTTGCCCGCCTCATATTATATATGTTTATAATTTCACGTAGTTCCTGGCTAAAGATTTCGTACTTCTTGTTATTATTATATCGTATATCAAAGTGTTTTGTTTAAATATTTATTGTACTGCTGGCCTTTTTTGGAAATATAGAAGGGATCAGCATTTCGAATTTGATTTTAGTTTTACGTTCTTTTTTTCAACAAGTCGCTAGTTGCTAAGTACATAAATGTCTATATAGTATTTGTATTTGTATTATATGTTTGATTTTCATTCATGTTAAATATGTAATAAATAGTTGCACAACTCCAACGTGCAATAAAGCGCATTCAAAATAGATATCGAGCTAAACATAACGATAGAGATTCAAGAGAATTGCGACTTCAAATGCAAGTCTTATAGAAATTTCATTTTTCATATAGATTTCCTGTTCACAAATCAATGTGTACGTACGTATAGAAGTATATATTTATGGATAAATATATATATATATATGTATATATATGCCCGCCAAAATAAATTAAAATGTTTTATAAGATTAAGACAGACTAAAGTAGTCAAATAAATAAATTGCTCTAGATCAACATAAGTTTTAAGTTTTTAAAAAGCTAAGCGCCGATCCGCACTAAGTATATGTATATATTTATATATGTTCCAACGTTGGATCCATTTTTCATTTTTCCGTTTTTTTTTTTAGTTATTTTGTGAATTGAGACTCCATTGGGCAAACTGCTCCTGCCATTGGCTATTCGCATTTGCCTGAAAAACAAGTTCACAAATTATTAGAAAATTAAGCAAAAATTAAATATATATATATATATTTTATATAAGATAAGGTAAATAGCTACCCAAACGCTACGCTGTGGCATGCAAATATATCAAAGAGTGGAAATAAAAACAGATATGCCATAAATATACATAGAGTATTTATCGGTTTACAACTACACAAGCTACATATATATTGTATATATATATATATTGTTGTTTACGTTTATATTTGAGTGCATGTTTTTGGAAACAAACAAAAAAAGAGAATACAAAAACAACAACAATATAAAAGAAAAACAAAAATACATCAATAGTTGGCTCTATAAGGATTTCAGTGCGAAATCCTTTACCTTTTCATTCCATTCGGGATTATAGGATTGAGTTTCATCGAAATCTGAAATTGTATCAATTTGCATAAGAATCAGTTTTATTTTAAAGCTTAACCCAAAGCTAAACCTTCTTCTGTTTGTTTTTGTAACGAGCAACCAACATGAACAGTCTAAATATAAATGGATACATTAAGTTATTATCTAGATACTTTGGTCTGGAAACACATGAGAGATGCCAAATGGACAGAGCTGAGTGGAGGGCACGAGAGAGAGATTCTGGGAACTGATTTGCATCGATGGAGTCGAATTCTAGCTAATCCAGTCTAGGATATATATAGATATATATGAGGACATGTGTGAGGCATGGCGAGTAAAAGACAGCGGCGTAGTCAAGGCGCATTTAAGGGGGGCTTGAACGAAAAACATATTCGTATATATATATGTTTGATATAGGTGAAATTTGTTAACATAATATAAAAGTTTTGAGTATAGAGTATAGTGTATAGAGTATAGTGAATAGAGTATAGAGTATAGAGTATAGAGTATAGAGTATAGCGTATAGAGTATAGAGTATAGAGTATAGAGTATAGAGTATAGAGTATAGAGTATAGAGTATAGAGTATAGAGTATAGAGTATAGAGTATAGAGTATAGAGTATAGAGTATAGAGTATAGAGTATAGAGTATAGAGTATAGAGTATAGAGTATAGAGTATAGAGTATAGAGTATAGAGTATAGAGTATAGAGTATAGAGTATAGAGTATAGAGTATAGAGTATAGAGTATAGAGTATAGAGTATAGAGTATAGAGTATAGAGTATAGCGTATAGAGTATAGAGTATAGAGTATATAAAGTATATAGATATAGAATATAGATTATAGAGTTTAGAGTACAGAGATTTAGCTAGTACTCAATAGGTTAATGGAACCTGGACTGGAAAGATCGGAGATGGATTTATAATATAGTAATTATTGAATGTCTGTTCAGCTGTCCGATTTCTCCGAAGATAGAGACGTGTATAAGGGTACCCCCTAAATTTTGCAGGCCATATTCAAATGTAGACAGCTCCAATCAAGATCTTAGCATATAAATTGCTGAAGATCTTCAAAGATCGTGCCTAGATATAATCCAGTTCGATCCACAACTGCAAACAGAGTCTGGATTCTTCTAGTTATGTGCATAAGATCGCAATAAGTTAAATTAAGTTATTTATTTCCAATAAATCCCCCCCAATAAACAGCCCGACTACGCCACTGGAAAGAGTTGCACTACGAATGAATCAGATTTGTGGGAGTAGAAAGATCGCGATTTAAGCTGAAAGTGAAGCGAATGGCAAAGAACTTGGCAACTACTTTTGAGATGAGCGAAAGGCGAAGGCATACAATAAAATAAATTTTAGATATATATATTTATGTATATATAAATTTTACCTGAACAACGCGTGAACCTACAAATGTTTTTTTTTTCAATTCTCTCTTGTTCTTTTTATATATTCAAACTATATTTCATAATGTAAGCGTGCATTATCAACTGGAGTTCATCGATTGTCTCACCGATCTCGTGGAGCGCCGGAAAGCCGGCCTCGTCATCATCGATAAAGAGCTCGGGTTGGTGGCGATAGGCGAGCAGCCGGTTCAGCTGCGACTGCTCCTCGCTCAGCCCGAAATTATAATCGAATCCATCATCGAGGGGATCTGTATAAAGGGGCGTGGCAGCAGCAAGATCCTCATCGGTGCGAAAGATCTCCTCGTACGCCAGAGAATCGCAGTCGCCGCCGCCGCAGCCGGACGGAACGGATTCGCGGCCCTCGATGTGGCGATACTCTTCAGAATGGGATTCGTTCGTTTGGATACGAGAGAGGTATTTTTTTTTTCGTTTTGGTAGTGAAAATAAAAATGATAAACAATAAAGAACAACTGAGGTGCAACTCAACATTTGCAGCATTTTTTCTTATGCCGTCTATTTGGGTAATAATCTATAAAAAAAAAAAAAAACAACAAAAAATGTTGAGAAAAAACCAAAAAAAAAATAAATAACTAGGGGAGAGGGGAGAGACAGTTGGAGGCAACGACGGAGGACGGAGGACGGAAACGGAGTCGACGTGCAGGACTTACCCAAAGGCATAATGAAACGAGCCGGCGGCAAGAAATGTTCTGAAAAAACAAGGACAACGACAAACGAAAGCACACACAGCAGAGCATAGACAGAGAGAGAGAGAGAGCGAGAGAGAGCGTGTTAGAAAGAGAGAGAGAGATAGAGATAGAGAATATTCCATATATTAGTTAGGTGCGAGTGGGCGTGGCAGTGGCCAGTGGCAGGACTCTAAAAGCGAGGTGCTTCAACTAATTTGGTGCCAAAAAAAACGAGTGCAAATTGCAGGTGCAAATTCTAGATCATATATCTATATATATCTCTATATATAGAGATATATTATGTACATATTCTATATTCCAAGCAGCAGCAGAGCGAGCGAGCGAGGCGGGAATTTTGATCTCGATTTGGTTTCGATTGCTATTTTTTTTTTGGTAGGGAGGGGTATTCCCGCGATTTACCTGTATTCAGATCGCTGACCATTGTCGAAATGGCCGACGTTATGTTGTCGGCAGTTGCGTTCAGCTCGGCATCGGCATTGGGATTGGCATTCAATATGGGCGGCGGGGCTGTGAAGCCATATACGTGTACATATATACAATAGAAAAGCGAGAGATATTGTTTAGGATGAACCAAGCCTCGGTGCTTCACAGAGCTGCAAGCGTGTCACGAATCACGATTTATCGTTATCGATATTATTATCGTAAGCATTCAGTCGATAACAATTGAAAATAATCGCTTATTTCTTAACTATATCTATTGGTTTTGTCTTCTTGAGAATCTCTTTTAAATTTCATTTAATTGTTTTACGTATCACGATTAATCGTTATCGATTAATTATTGATATAATTATCGTAAACATTCAGTCGATAGCTATTGAAAATAATCGCTTATTTCACACCTATATTTATTGTATGGAGTCTTCTTGAAAATCTCTTTTGAATTACATTTAATTTTTTTACGTATCACGATTAATCGTTATCGATATAATTATCGTAAGCATTCAGTCGAAATAATCGCTTATTTCTTAACTATATTTATTGTAATGACTCTTTTTGAAAATCTTTATTAAATTCCATTTAATTGTTTTACGTATCGCGATTAATCGTTATCGATTAATTACTGATATAATTATCGTAAACATTCAATCGATGCTATTGAAAATAATCGCTTATTTCTCACCTATATTAATTGTATTGACTCTTCTTAAAAATCTCTTTTAAATTCCATTTAATTGTTTTACGGATCAAGATTAATCGTTATCGATATCATTATCGTAAGCATTCAGTCGATAACAATCGGAAATAATCGCGCGCTTTTCATTGTCTAACCATGTACGGAATTTATTGAGTCTTCTTGGGAATCTCATTTAAATTCAGATTAATTGTTTTACGAATCACGATTAATCGTTATCGATATAATTATCGTAAGCAATCAGTCGACATCAATTGGAAATAATCGCGTTTCTGAAAATGTAGAGTCTTCTTGAAAATCTCTTTTAAATTCCATTTTAATTTCCACGCACGAATGCCTGATCGTGACACGCGAGCAGCTCCCAAGTGAAGTGTGTGTTGGTCAGTGGACAGTGTTGGTCAGTGGACAGTGTTGGGCAGTGGCAGGTGAGCGCAGTAGTGTTCAGTGTGGATCGTAGAGGTGGGGAAAAAACATTTAAAAGAGCGTAAAAAGAGAGAGCGAGAGATGGACAAACCTAACGACCAATTTGTGATGCAGTTAACCTAAACAAATGCAACAGATACACTTTAATCCCAACCCAAATCGAACCCAATCCGAATCCCTAGTAGATCCTTGGGCTAGCATGGAGGGCAATACTCACTTGCACTGCCGTTGGCGGCAAAGGCGCTGCGCATGTCGCTGCTGATCTGATTGAGCTGCTCCAGCTGGCTCTGGCTGAAGGGTCCGTGGCCGAGGCCGGGCGAGGATTGACTTTGCTGTGCCGCCTGCTGCTGCTGCAGCAGCTGTTGCTGTGTGGAGCGCAGCATCGGATGCTGTTGCAGCTGCTGCAGCTGCTGGGCATGCAGAGCGCTCATGGGCGAGGTGCCCAGGACGCCAGCGTTGGCTGAAGTTGTCGCCGAGCCACCACCTGCTCCGCCACCCGGCATGGGCGGCGATTTGCCGGAGCGTGGACTGGAATTGGGCGTGGAGCGCGGCGAGGCAGTCTGTTGATTCTTGAGCATGCGCATCAGGCCCTCCAGCTGTTCCATGAGCTGCCGTCGCGAATCCTGCAGCGCGCCCAAATGGCCCTCCAGTTCGCCCTTGCGCTGCCGCAAGGCGCGCAGCTCATTGATCAGCGCCGGATTCTCGGGCGCCATTTGCTCAGTCTCCTGCTGGCGGCGCAGGCGCGCTATTTCGCGCATTATCTCCTTGTTCTTCGACTCCAGCTGCGCGATCAATTCGCGCTGCGCACGCGAATTATCCGTGCCAATGGGCGTGATGCTCTCCGCATTGGGCATATTGGAGGGCTGCAACAGGGAGAGAGATTAGAATATTTTAGAGATGTGCTTTAACTGCGACTCACAGCGCGATTCTCCTGGGCCAGACGCGCGGCATAGCGTGCAATCAGGCGATGCTCCTCATCGTTGGCCGAGGCGGCCGCGACACGGGACATGGTCGTGTCCAGGCTGCGTCCGGTGGCCCGTGAATCCAGCGTACTGGAACGATCAAAGATGCCCGGATGATGGGTCCCGGGTCCCGGGCCGGGACCGTGCAGATGGCCCAGCGTTGGATCGGAGAAGCCATTGTGCGAGGGTAACGGCGATGGCGGCACAATGTGCGATAAATTGAGTGTCTTTTCGGGCTGGTCGGGGAATCGTGGCAACACTTGCGTCGTCTTCTCGGGCACACAACGGAAGCTCTTGCGCAAGGAGTGACCAATCTGTTTGCTGGGCGACTTGTAGCTCGAGTACTCCTTGACCTCGTGATCGTTTTGATGGTTCAGCGATGTCTTGCCATGCCAAAAGCACTCCTGGCACAATTGGTAGGCGTGACAGCGCTGACAACGATAACGAAATCCGGTGAAGTTTTCCTTATGGCAAACAGAACAGATCGTCGGATGCACAATTGTCTCAACCGTGGCCAGCCGATGCAATAGCGGCAGCCAAACGAGACACGACGGGCCCGGTTCGGACATAAGTGTTGCCATGAAATCATTAACGGTGACCTTATTCTCAGCCGGAAATATCTCCTCCTCCAGCCCGTCCTTATAGTGGAATGTGGGCGACTCATAAACGGCCGCCGGCAGCGCCAATACCTCACGCAAAAATTCACCCAGCTTCCAGGCAACCAGCTGTCCCCCACCATCCGAAATCTGTGAAAAGATATCTGCCGCGAGAGATAGGGGAAAATCAGTTTAAGATCTAAGTCGTTGAATTTAGCTACTCACATCTGAGCTTGTCGACCAGCTTGCCGGAGCACATGGTAGCCAGCGCCACCTTAATGGAAAACACGCGTATTTTGCCCGAGTTGTCGCTGAAATGGGATTGGGTAAGGATTAGCTACTGGATAAGACAGTTACTTCAATTACTCCCACCTGGTGTAGGCAGCCAGCAGCCAGTTGAGCAAGAGACCCGCCTTCGAGTCCACGGGCACCTGCTGTGCGGTCGGCAGACGCTTGTTCAGATTGTGATAGAGCGAGGAGACGAGCGTCTCCAGACGCGCCACGCTCACATCGCTCTGCGGCTCCAGTGTGTTCAGGCCATTCTCACGGAACGCCTCGATCACATTCCAAATGTCCACCAGATGCAAATTGGTCGACTTCTGTATGTAGCGCAACTTCGAAGCGGTCCGATACGAGGCGAAGCGTATCGAGTCGAAGGTCTGTAGCCGCAGATCCTGCAATATGGCCACGCGAGGCTCCAGCTCCATCATAATGGATCACACAAAACGAGCTCAACTCTGAAAGAGATAATTAAAAAAAGAGAGATATAAGCAACTAATTGTTTTTTAATTAAGATTAGAACCCGATATTTCAACGGCTGGTGTTGGTCTTCCCTTAGACTCGCACTTTGTTTGGAATACGCCTTCTTCAGTAACTTCGGAGCTTATAGTCCGATCTTTATGACATTTTCAGACCTTAAATGTGGCATAATTAGGCGTATATATCCCAAAGTCCAAGGCTCTACCTTTTAAAATACTCTATACAAGAACCTACATACGAAATTTGATGTATCTAGTTCATATAATAAGTTGAATGTTTAAGAATCGCAAAGGAAGGCAACGTTTAAGAAAGACGCAAAGCGAGGCAAAGTGAAAGCTAGAACAGTGAGAGAGAGAAAGAGAGCGAAAGATAGAGAGTTATTAGAGGGAGAGAAAGAAAGTATGGAAATTTGTAAGCCTACATTCATTTGTGAGAATCGCAAAGGAAGGCAATATTTCAGAAAGTTGGGTGTATCTAGTTTTTACAATCTTATGCTTGACAAAACCTTTCTCCAAACTCGAAATTTATAGACATAAAGAACATTTGAGCACAAATTAAAAAATAATGTTATAAATAAGTTCTGCACATTTTGCATTATTTGTATTATTTCAAATCCCAACTCTGTAACTTTTATTGTTTCCCAAATCAACTTTACTCCGATAAAGTTTTGTATATGGAATAAATTTTCGGACCTTAGCCTGAGTTTATGGCCTGGAATGGCAAACTGGACTGCATATATTTCCATTAATGTGCACAACTTTCGCTTTAAATTATCGTCTGGCTTTAATCCGCAAAGATAATGATAATTTAGATGATTATAGCGCAGGATTATGTAGGGTAGGAATAAATATAGCTCGAGTGCTTGCAGAGCTGACATAAATAGAATTATTTTATGGACTAGTTCTGGGGGCGGGGGACGACGACGAGGCGCACACACATGTGTAACGTATTTGATGTCGTCTTTACAACTTAATATGCGCCCTGTAAACATGCTGTGCGGGTGCTTAGAAACATGTGTATACGGAATATTTAATTAACGCATAAATAATAATGCCAAGAGGAGCACTCGGCTCGGTCTAACTGGGTCATCAGCTGGCATCGGGCGAGAAGAACGTGGAGGAGGACGACATCGTCGACAACATCATCAGCTTTCAGTGCCATAAACATCAGCCGCAACACGCGAATGCCAAAGCGATTGGCTCCCCCCACCAATTGCCAGCCCTCTCCCCCCCCCCCCCCGCACTTCCTGTCATCCTGTCAACAATGGTTTTTTTTCCATTTTTTTTTTATTACATATTCCATTGTCGTCTGTCTGGCGACGACACACACAGAGCCACAGCCACGGAGCGGAGGCCATCTTCTCCCCTGTTGCCACCGGAAGTGCAAGTGAGCAATCCAAAGGAGACATCCCCCCGCAGCCCCCCGGCAGCCCAACTGACAATCCTTTTTTGCCCGGCAAACGAAAAACAAAGCGCGTTGATAAGCAAATTTTATTAAATCATTTGTAATCCGCTTTGCAATACCAATTAATCGAAGCGTTTGCGAGAATTGGAAACGGAATCGGCTTTCAGCTTGAGCATGAGAATTGCCAGCTGTCTCTCCCTCTCTCTCTCTCTCTTCCTCGCCCTCTCTCTATCTGACTGCAGCTGCCTTTGCTCCCTGTGGGGACAGTCTCGCAGGAGCTGTCGCCAAAAGTGTCAGCCATTTATTATGTTCCTCGTGTTGTTGTTGTTGCATTTTTGATTCACACACATCAGGGCGAGTAGCAGGATATTATCTTCTGCGGAATGCGCGTGTGTGTGAACATAATTCATGTTGCCCGGCCGTCAGCGACACTTTTGAATCTATCGCACAGTGTTGCAGCATGTGCGAAATACTTTAAAACTTCTCACTTCTTACTTTGGCTGTTTCTCTCTCTCTCTCTCACTGTACTGCCTTTCCTTGCTTCTTGCTCAGCGTCTTTCTTTACGTTGCCTTTCTTTGCGATTCTCACAAATTCAACTAGGCTCACAGATTTTGATACTTCTTTGTCCCTTTCTTGCTTGCTTTCTCTCTCTTCCTCTAACAACTCTCTATCTTTCGCTCTCTCACTGTTCCCATTCCTTGCCCTGCGTCTTTCTGAAATATTGCCTTCCTTTGCGATTCTCACAAGTTCAACTAGGAGATTCACAGATTTTGATACTTCCTTTGGCTATAACTAAAGCTCTTTCTCTCCCTCTAGCAACTCTCTGTCTTTCGCTCTTTTATTCTTCTGTCTAGGCCTCTTCCTTTAAGGCCAATTTTAATAGGTTGCCAAACCAGTGTGCGATGCCTGTTAGTATCAAATTTTTGCTATAGATGAGAAGACCTCTGAACGTGATGACGCATTCCGAGCTCAGAGCTAGAGCCCAGGCCAGGACGGACAGGGGCGGCACAGCCAAACGTGGCGGAAATAGCATAGGGCCAGTACGAATAGTACGAGCAGCACAAGGACATTTAAAAACAGGATTTCACTTCATTTAAATGCCGCTTTTCTACTTGTATATTTGCTGACGCGGGGCACACACAAAACGAGATGACAGCGGACCGCGCCCAGCACCAGAAACAGGACAGGACAGGACAGGAGAGGATAGCAGCCAATCTGGTTGTCCAAAATGGAATTCAATTTCGAAACGAGGAAAACCACCCAAATGACAACACTGATGAGCCTGACGATGCTGGGCGATGACTCATAAGCTGCCGATGCTGCTTCTGTTGCTGTTGCTTCTGCTCCTGCGGCACCTTCAGCTCCTGCTGCTGGACTCTAAACGAAATGGAGCGACAAAAACCGCCAGGACATACGTATGTGTACATTTATATAAATATGCGCATACAGTTTGCCCGGCCAGATGTGGGCCAGCTAAACAACACACACACACAGAGACAGACAGAGACAGTTGCCTGCATCTGGCTGCCCAAACTGAATGAAGGACGCGCTCTGAGCTGTGTAAACATTTGCGCACAAAAGTATGCAACGAGACCTGCCTGAATTATTTCGAGTTTGGCAACGAGCGCACGTCGTCTATGAAGACGCATTGCAGCTGCAATGGGGCCAATGGGGAGAGGCAGTTGAGAGGGGGCAAGTGCGGGCGTGTGCTTTGCCCCAAAGCGACGACATCCAGCGCTCATGACTGTGTTTGTGCTTCAAGTGGCCGATGGTTCATTCGGGTCTTTACAGTGGACAAAAGTGGGAGCTTAACTCATCAATATATTGCCTTCCTTTGCGATTCTCATAAATTCGAGTAGGCTCACAGATTTTGATACTTGCTTTAGCTCTATCTATAGTTCTTTGTAGGTTTTTTGCCCTCTTCTTCTCTCCTACAGTGGACAAAAGTGGGAACTCAACTCATCAAAATATTGCCTCTCTTTGCGATTCTCATAAATTCAAGTAGGCTCACAGATTTTGATACTTGCTTTAGCTCTATCTATAGATCTGTGTATGTTTTTTGCACTCTTCTTCTCCCCCTATCTTTCGCTCTCTCTCTTGCCTTCCTTTGTGATTCTCAGAAATTCAACTATCCTCACAGATTTTGATAATTGCTTGGCTCTATTTATAGCTCTTTATTTCTTTTATGCTCTCTTGACGCCAAAACTGTGATCGACTGCCACATATCCTTTATTTATATATATACAAATATGCCAAGTAGTTCTTCTCGGTTATCTCCTAGTTGAGCACAAACTTGGAGCATTCTTCTTTCTGAGAAAACATGGGAAACATATTTGAATGTCACATACCCAACTTGATGCCTCAGACATAGTTGTATATAGCCTATTATGCAGGGTATCTCCAAGTCGTGCAGTTGTCTTGAGCACTGTTAATTCTTAGAATTTATTGAGAATGTTTTTATGCTGATTCGTACTCAATACTCGACTAGGTATCTTCGGCTTTGAACCAAGAAATATGTGACTATTTGTATATTCAAAAATTTGCCCAGTTTTCATATGATTCGCACCACTGTGTGAATCTGTACCGGGCTTGTCTGTTGCTAGTTGCTGAGTTAAATTTGGGGTTTTGGGTCTCCCACAAGGCTGACCGCGTGTTTGTTCGCCTGCATCAGACCGAGATTTTTGGGTAACTGGAAAATGCTCGAATTTTGTTAACATTTTGCCAGGGATTGCAGAAAATGCCAGTTCATTTCTTGATATATTGTTGAGGTCAGGTTGCTAAACAACAATATATAAAATAAATATAAATAAATGAAAATGAATTACGCGTGTTTCAGCAATATTTTGCTTAATGCAAAACTTATACAAAGTTTTGCGCGCTGTGTCACCGAACTTTGATTAAAGCTAAACTTTGCTCATCATCAAATGCCAACTGCAAATGTTTGACACGAGCACGAAATGGGCTCAGGTATTCGATGGGGGGAAAGGGATCTACTATTTGTCGGAGGACAATGAGTATGTGGGTCAAAGCACAAGATTTCCTAATGAAAGTCGTGAGGAGCTGCAAATAGCATAGTTATGGAAATAGTTAAAAGCAATTTCCACACACTTTTTGGCCAACACTCAACACAAGTCGAATCCCAGGTGAACTCAACTTTAGCTGCTTTTTTTTTCTTCTCCCCAACTTGATGCTCAATTTACGCCAAAGGAGCAGGAAAAAAAGAAGCGGAAGCAGAGGAAGTAGCAGCAAAAAACTTGCGCGTCCTTAAACAAGGATCCTGGGACTTGTAAAAGCTGCAGCAAAAGATTTAAAAGTTTCTTTTCGAAAATAAAGAAAAATAGTTGTTGCCATCAGGTTGCACCTCGTTGCCACCTTTCCAAAAGTAGCTGCCACAATAAAGTGCTGCATCCGGACGAGAAAGTCCTGCAGTTTGCGTGCCGTGTCAAATCACAGGTAAAAAACAACAACAAGAAGAACAACAACAACAACTGCGCTGATAACTGTGGCACATAATAATTCAGAATTCTGCATTCCGAATTCCAGACAATCGTTTCGTTTATTTCGTGTTAATTC